GTAGGCAAAAAGAAGAAATGGATTTTTCCTGTGTGTTTGTTTAGAGGTAGATGATAAACTGAAACATTGCCAAATTCCTTTCTATCTTCAAACAAGAAATCCATTATGTCCTAAGAAATGAATGTTGTATGAATATTTCCCTGCTTGAGAACAGCACCATTATTCTATGAAGCTTAGAAATACAAGAAAGAAATAAAACCCCAACAGGAAATTGAATTTGCACCTTATTTAATGCATGGTGACAAAGTAGATCATTAGACTTTTCTTAATGAATAGCATTCACTTCTGCAAAGTGAGAGCCCATGCTCATAGAGTCTGCTTGTGTGGTTTTGTTTCTTCAGTGTTCAAACAATTTTTACTTAACATCAACATGGAGTTATTTTACTAAGGGTCTGGTTTTTCAACTCTCACTGACAGTAACCCTATGGAAATCCTACATAATGCTCAGTAGGATCAAATCCTACTTCCATTCACTTTGAAAAAATCTGATCTCTTCATTTTCATCATATCTGTTAAAGCTTGGAAGTGACTCAGCTTAAGAATGATCTGAGTCCCTTAGAGATCACAGGCAATTGGATTGCTCTTGAGCAGCTACCTTTTGTCGTGATAGCTCAGGCTTGCATACACGCAGCCTGTAGCTTTGAGAGCTGATAGCAGCACTGATGGTATCTCCAATCGTTTTGTGGTCCAAGGATGCAAAATAGTAGCTCCGGAGAGTAGTTCAAGTGAGAAAAAGCTTGTAGGTCTGTGTTTTCCATACAGTGTGAGGCAGGACACTATTCCAGCTTATTCCATTCACAAGAGAGGCAGGATTCGTATGTTTGGAATATCATAGAGTCATAGAATCATAGAATAGTTTGGGTTGGAAGGGACCTGAAATCCTTTAATATACAGACTTTGAGAAAAAGGCTGAGTTCTTCCTTGTTGAAGAGAATGGTTTTCTTTTTTTATTTAAAGAAAAATGCTGGTATGTTTATCTCTATGCTTGTGGTACCTCAGGGAATAGAAATGCTCCCTAGTGTCTCCTGTTTCAGAAGGGAGATTCTGGTCATGTAAAACAGAATTTCTTCCATCGTGTTGAGCAGGAAGGGTTCTTGGGGAAATGTTACTCTCCTGTAGAACTATTTCCATGTGATGGATTTACAGAATATCTCTCGCTTTTTGCTTCTGAAGCATGATTTATGCATTGCTATTGGCTCCACTAATTAATTCTTCCGAAGTTCTTTTTCCATCAGCATAGGAAAAACCAAAAGACTACAATTTGGTGTTTCCTATTAACTGTCATCATTTTGGTATTCGTTTTTCTTTGGTGACATATTTGTATCACCGCAATTGCCTAGATCACACTATTGGGATTTATTGTACGTATGTAGTGATCCCAGCTGGTTTCTCTTCATTGCCTCCGCTATTTGTGGCATGAACGATGCTGGGCAGATGGTCTTTAATAAAAACAATCACAATTGGTCCATCTTTTCTGTGGTATTTCTACAGTGGTCATAAATATGTGTGCTAAGGCAATATATTTAAGCTTGAGGGGATTTGTTGTCAGAATCATGACTTCTGCACAGTTGCAAAAAGGAAGAGAAAAAAAAAAGCTGTTTTAATCCCTTCCTTGTTTGTACACCAAGTGTGGATACAGTCATGTTCACCCTTTCTGATTTGATCTCTGACTCAAAGTGAAAGCAGCCTGCTGGAACAGCATTTTTCCAACCATGGATGTTAACAGTCTGGCTGACCCTTGTTTCGCCCGTGTAGCTTAAAGCTGTGATTAGTGATAGGAACACATGTGCTAAATTGTCTGCAAAAATCCGTTGTAATGTGGGGTTGCCAGGACTTGTCTTTAATTCTTGCAGATTGGTGTGTGCTTCCTGCTGTGAGTACGCCAAAGATGATGAATCTGCTGGTGGTTCACATCATAAGCAGTTCTACTTGTGCCTGAATTCATGACTTGCCAGTATGAGAGAATTTAACTCATTCTGAGTTATTGACAAAAAGAATAAGAGAATGGGTAGAAAGGAGACTTCATAAAGAAAAGGGCAATAGAGGGAGCTTCTTTTTAATAATAGTAATTACTGTCTTTAAAAGACTTGCCAAATAATTTTATCCCCAATTTTCGTCGCTAGGCTTGAATCCCTGTGGCCATGCAAAAGGGATAGAGCTTAATAACTGTGAGTGCATGAACCCTTGTCATTCAAAGTTTGTAGTGTTTTTGCAAGCAATGATCTGCCACAGACCTCTGTATGGTACGTTGAAGCTGGATTTTCAGAAGAAGCTAGAACAGAGGCAGCATTGAAAGTTACTTTTGATCATCCTACCTTATTGGACCCAGTGCCTGGGCAGGTAAAGAGAGCCATAATGACTAAACAAGTTTTTCAAAAGGTGACTCATTGGTAGAACTGGGAACCATAGTAAAGAGCCAGAGAGTTCATATATGCACAAACTGTAATTTAAATAATCGCATAGACGCATGAGTACTCCATAGCTATTTATGAAATTTAGCAGCTTCTGAAGCATCTAGTATTGACCACTCCATGACAATACTCCAGTTCATACACTGTAACCACAGGATCTAACGGTCTGAATACCGAAGGTAATCCTTAACAACTTTTAGACATTAAAAGTAGAATTCTCAGTTAATCCATGATTTAATTGTAAGGATCCACCACAGGTAACTTGGAAAAGCCAACCTATGTAAGTAGGCTTAGGTTTCACCTCTGGACCTCCAGTGGAAAATATCTAGATGGTCCCCAATTCAGGAAGAGTCTAAGGTGATGTGGTGTAGTGGTCACAGTATTTTCTGCCTAATGGTTACATGATATTGTACTGTTAGTTTGAAAATAATATTTTAAACAAAATGGAGATCAGTAGAAGAAAACGGAAGAATGAAAACCAGCTTGGAGCATTTTGCAGCATTATAATAGAGCCTTAACAATAGTTCTCTGTAATTCTCCTAAGTCACTGATAATTGAGTTTTGGCTGCTTGTGGATTTAATGCCACCATGAAATGTAATTTGTTTGCACATGGAATATTAACACTGTTGTGTGCAAAATGTGAAACCAGAAAAATGCTGGTACTGATACTGCTTTAATTCGAAGTTGCATTTTAGTACATTCTGTTTATTGTTATTCTATTAATTATTGTTACAGTAACAGTCGTTAGACCTCCAGGGCTTGGCAACAGACAGAGAATTTGCAATCCTTGCCCCAAACACCTTGCAATTTTAATTTTCAAGGCAGATAGCTAATAAGATTTTATCCCATTGTAACGGGGGAGAGAACGAATGTTGTGCACAATATTGTGCTTGGAATTTGTGGCAGAGAGATGAATTGAACCCGGTTCCCCTGATAATCTTTCTGTATTTCATATTTTAATTTTTCAAGGACTCTCTAACTGCAGGGACCTAGGATGCTGCTTATTTTTCCTTAATAATCAGAATCTCTGATATTTGATATTTCTGATATTTGATCTGAATGTACTTGAATGTTATGAAGAGGGATGAGATGGAATTGCTTGCAGGGTAAGAGTAAAACTAGCATCCTAGACGGCTGTGAAGAGTAGTTTCTCTTACTGAATTACACACATACAGCAATAGACAGAGGAGCAGTAGGAGTCGCTGAAACCAAAATGCCTGGGAGCAGCCATGTATGTATTTGTTTAAGAATTCATCTAGCAGCTCGTATTATGCTTTCTCACTGAGGTGAATAAAGAGGACTTTTGAAAGCTTGCATGAAGCAAGTAGTATTTTTGGTGCTACTGTGGGACGTCAAATAGGTAGGTTCAAGTCCTTTGTTTAACCCAAGCTAAAGCCAAAGTGTGAAATTCAGTCTCCCATCTCCCATGGCACTTTCTCTTCATAGGAGTTGGGTGTTATAGGATGGATTGCTTTCTGTCTCCTGTGTTGACCAGAAATGCCAATGTAGCGCTATGAATATTTTCTCAAAGCAAAACAGGCATCTCGTTGTAATGTGTTTTGGTTTGGGTGAATAAGCATTTAACAGTGGAAAAAATGCCAAGTCACAGAAATCCTTGACTGGTCCTTCACCCTTTTACTGATACAATTATTTTTCCTAATAAAGTTGTACATGGCCACAAGTCTATATCCAAATATTAGAGTTGTTTATCTAATCCATGAAGTAGAGGGAGTATAGTATATAAAAGATTAACACAAGACCAATGCAGATTAGGCACTCAAAGGTAATAGTAGTTCTTAGGACATTGATTTGTTCAGAATACAGGTGGGGAATACTCTTCCTATTGGCTTTATTCAGTGTCCAATATACTGTTGTATAGTTTGGCTGCATGTATCATAAAGTGTATATAGTGGAGATGTGGCTAGATTTTTAATGCTTGATTGTCTCCTCACTGCAGCTTTCTCCCAGTATTTATGTCTAAATACTGTAAAATCACCCTGAACATTTCAAAGATCATACTTTTTAAAGCAAAATGAAAAGTATTGATGCAGCTATGGTGCATCTGCAATTATGGAGTTAATCTATATCATACAACATTTCTAAAATGTTCATTGTTTCAAAAAGAATCAGCACCTTGAAAGCTTCTTAAAGCACACAGTTGCAGGAAAAATGTATGCTAGCATATAAAATAGTAAAATCTGTCCTATTTATGGAATCATATCTTTTCTTCTGCTCACCTCCAGTCCCAGAAGTGAAAGCAAGATTGCGTTTGTACAAATAACTCTGATAACATGATTAACTGGATGATGCAAGTTAACTGAGGTCTTGGTGAGGACCAACTACGTGAAAGTTATGATTATGTAGATTCCTCCAAGGAACGTCTTTATTACAAGCTCTCTTGTAGCCAGAGGATACCAACCATCTCCTGGGATGTCCAGGCATGTAGTGACAGGAGAAAAAAGCAAAAATCTGATAGAAGGGAGCAAGACCACCAGGGTCATCTCATTTGTCGGCAGCATAGACTGTTGTGACATCCTTAGTAGGTGTGTTTTTCCAATCTATCATCTGTGTGGTTTTTTTTCTTCCAGTGTGTGGCTGTGACTTGGCACAAGGAGGCTTCTTCATTAAGAACGGGGAATATCTTTGCACCTTGGATTACCAGCGCATGTATGGTACCCGCTGCAACGGTTGTGGGGAGTTTGTGGAAGGTGAAGTAGTGACAGCTCTAGGAAAAACTTACCATCCAAGCTGCTTTGCCTGTACTGTTTGCAAGTAAGTCATACCTTTTCAACTAACATGGCATGAACCTAGTACAAGGAAAACAGGGAGAAAAGTATCACCATGAGACATAAGTCTCAAGACATATTTCTCTTTGGGAAGAATTTGGTTGGAAAAGATCTGCTGCAACTCTGACTTTGAGGGTCTTCAAAATACCACTCATTTATTTGGGGGACACAGCTTCTCTGTTACATATAGTTCCCTGTTCTCAGAAAGTTACTCTCATGTATGAAAGAATTAAGTATCAGGCTTACATGTTGAGATAATGGACGTGGGTTGAGTTGAGTTCAGGTGATCAGCCCAGCTTGATGGGAGAAATGAGGTAAAGCAAAATTCTGGATGCCAGAACAGAGAAGTCATTTGGGCTACAAGAACAGTTAAACAATTGAAAACATACTGGAGACTCATTTTCACATCATGTAAGAATGCATGGCTTTGGGACAACTGTGATCCCCCTCTTCTTCCCAAATACTATTTCTTGTCCCCAGTAAGAGAACCAGTCTTCAGTTCTACAGGGAATAAAAAGAAGTTAACTAAGGCTGTGTGGATGGGACAAAAGGTGGCATTTTTAGCTTGTATTTTTATTTAAACTCTCACTAAGATATTAATTCAGAATTTAGGAGACTACTGGGCAGATCTTCCACATGCTCTCATAGCCTGCTCATTTGAGCAGTTCTATACTTGAAAATCTCAGCTGAGCTTTACAGCCTAAACTCAACCCAAAGTCCCTGTGCATAGTGTTCTCTATTAGCTGGCTCTAGGCACTGAGACTATGCTAGAATTTAGGCTGACTTAGATGTACCTTATTGCTATGGAGATCAGTATAATATTTTGGATACACTAGGGGAAAGAAAGTTTCTGTAGGTTTTTATAGGAGTGGCACATTTTTATAGTAGTAAAAATAATCTTCTAGACATAAAGCAGAAGTGAAGTGATATTATGGTGCCATCATGATTCTACAGAGAGCCAACTGTGTTTTGTGCATACTTACTATTTACGAAGCTGGAATTAAGATGGCCATCAGGTTGTTCATTTCTGCAGTTCTGAGCCCTGCAACTAAAACAGAAGTTTTCTTAAATAAGTTTCAGTGTAATGCCTGAGGGACATATAAGAAGCATCAGATAGAGACGTAGGTAGGTTTCACAGAGAGGGAGGACCCAAAAGACAGGGCCTGTTCCTTTGTAGTCTTGGAGGGAAATAGGACAGTGGAGTTCTCCAGAAGACAGAATCTGACAGCAGTCAAATTGTCTGAAACTTAATGCAGGGGGATGACATGAACAAGAAAGGCAAGAATCTACGTTCTGAGATAGTACCTTCTTGGAGATCGCATCATATGATGCGTCTGAGTATTAGTGTGGCAGACTTGCTAGGTGCTACCCTAATCTTTCATAGCTATCTCTGATGAGTAGTTTAAGTACTTTGTCCTATAGCCTGGTACATTTTTCAAGACCTTTTCTATTGAAAGTATTTTGATTGTTTTTCCGGTTGGTTTTAAATAGTGTGGGAATTTACTGTATGTTGGTAACCATATGCTGTGTATGTTTCAGTTTTATTTCCCAAGGACAGTGTGAAAGTAGATGATACAGTATGAAACATGACATCAATTTTCTGTACATTGACTTGCATCAATCTTTCTATGTTGAATGAACAAAAGATGAGTCATTGGAATAGGTTCATGAAATGTGGTATTGCTGCTGATTTATTTATGGCCTACTTAGGAATGGCAGTGGAAAGGAAATTGGAACAATGCCTTAAACATTTTGTTTTGTGGAAACAAGCAGATGTTCATTTGTTAAGGACAGTTTTGGAGTGAGGTGTGGTGTAGGGGGGTCTGTACTCAGCAGCTAAAGCTACTTACTAAAGATTTGGAGTTACTGAACCTTCTCATTTTAGTGAAATGGTCATACAAGATGTTGTTCATCCTCTGTTTTATACATCAAATAAGAGTTAACAGCAATGTCAACTTCTGCCTAACACACATTCTTAACATTTTGTTGGGTGCAGTAAATAATCTCAAACTTGCAGAGCGCATTCAGCCTTTACCTTTCTCCTAACACCATTTGCACAGGTAGCAATTACAGTGGTTCTGTAGTGTAGATACCTATTTTAAATCTCGAGGAGAATGAATGTGGATAACATTTCATTTTTTTGCAAACTGCTACATCCACTGTAATATAGTCATGTATTTCATTGCTGAATACAGATGAAATTAGTGTATTTATTGGAGTGACTAGCTCCACATTCCTTCACTAGCCTGAAGGCCAGTTCCGATTCTTCCTTTGAGTTCTCTTCTGTACCACAGAAGAGTTCTCTTCTGCTATCCACAACATCACACTGAGACAGTCATAAATGTAGCTGTTGTGTCTAAGTGGATTTCATTGTCGTCTACACTTTAGATAAAGTATGTTTGATAACTTTGTTTAAACCAAAATACAAGGCAAGTCTAACCTCTGCTCTGCTTGCATCCACGGATTGGATTTCTTCCAGTGCCTGACTTTGCCAAGGCCACATTGCAGAAACTATTTGGCCTGAGTTTCTGTAAAATATTGATTGCACTGGGGGAAGGCAGCAAACTCAAGGCATAGGGAGCAGAGGAAAATTTCTGGCATAACCTTTGCTAAAATACATTTTTCTCTTTAACTCTCCAGGCGTCCATTTCCACCAGGCGATCGAGTTACCTTTAATGGAAGGGAGTGTCTCTGTCAGATGTGTGCTCAGCCAATGGCCTCCAGTCCAAAAGAATTGTCTGCCTCAAGCAGTAAGTATGCCATCTTCTTTCTGAAGCCTTTCACTTTCCCAGGCTCATCAACATTTGGTTGAAAGTAACTTAATGCAATCTTTTGGGGTTTTTTTATTTTTCTTCACCTTTAGAAATGTGAACTATCTTTGGGAACCATCTTTTTTTTCTTTCCCCCTTTTTTTTTTTTCCCCCCTTCATTAAAAGTGTCTGGTACTACAGGTGGGAAGAGACACTTACACATTTCAGTGTGAACAAATTACTTTTCCCCAATGACTGGATTTTTAAAGGGGCTGGTTTTTCTTTTATAGGCACTGGAAAAGTATCTAGTTGATGAAATCTGAGGTTTCAGAGTTGATAGATTCCATTTTTTTCATCTATAATTGCACAGGTTTAAATATTCAAAAGAGGGCAAAGTCAGAGGAAATTAATTTTCTTCTACTATTTAACACTTCAATTTAATTAAATTATCCTTTAAAAGGAGTATCGCCAGGATTATGCTTCCAGTAGATTGATACCACAATGATACTGTGATCAGAACCTCGAGAAACCATTATGAAAAAGAGAGAAAGCAAGTTAAGGGGAAAGAGAGAGAATAAAGTAAGTTTGGGAGGGAAATTAACTTGGTTTGCTGCTGGGTTTTAATGCTTTTAAAAGATAATTTGTAAATTACTGATACTAATCTCTGCCTCTGGTAGTTAATTTTTTAAATCTTTGAGGATTTCTGATTCTTTCTCTGACTGCTGGATTGTACTTGGCACTCTAATCTGTAATAAATTACCCAGTGTAGTTTTATAACTCAAAATGGCTACAGATTTCTTTGTGACACTAGGTAGTTTTTCACCGATGTTAGTTTCCTTGAGGGAGACACTGTGTATTTTGTACTGGTTCTTGGCTTTGAGTTCTTAGGATTATACAGTGCGACGTAAAGGCAAAGTTGGATAATGTCTGTGCTCAGCAGATGAGTCAAGTGAATCTCAGCTTATCTGGTTTCCCTGAGAACATGTAATCAGATACTTACCAAAATGGAAAATGAGAGACTTTTTTTATTATCATGCCTTTTTTTCTGTTAAGTGATACTTTTCCACTATAACTGTAGATTTGGAGCTGAAAATGCACAGGCCTAATCAGTTAAGGAAGAATTTAGGAACCTGAAAAAAGCCTTACAAGACTTACAAACCAACATAGAAATGTATGAGGTACTTCAGGCACCCAGAGAATCCTTCTGAGACAAAGGAATGATGTGGAAATTGTATTTGAATTACTGATATTTAAGAGGCATAATTGGCAAGGAACTGCAAGGCATAGGGACCTTGGACAGTACTGATGTTCTTTTTCTAAGTATGTCACAGGACTGGTTCCTAAACTGCTGGTGTTCAATGATAGAAGTATCTGGATCACACTACATCTGGTTCTCAAAAAGCAGAGCACTTGTCCAGCAGTGTGGCCACTTCCCAGATATGTGACTCCAGGTGCCAAAATGCTCCCTAGCAAATGATGGGCTAGAGTTGTCTGATAGTGAGCAAGCAGAAGAGCTGGAGAGTCGCTTCCTGATAGCCATAGTCTCTGATTGAATTGCTTCTTGGGTTCCACGCTGAAGTCATAGGTAGCAAGGATTATAAAACAGTCTTACCTGCTACTTGTGATGAGGTGTTTTTTTTGTTTTTTTTTTTTAAATCAGAATTGGGTCCTGCTGGGCAAACTGCCTTACCAATACACACAGCGAGAGAGCCCTGCTTGTAATAGTTTAGAGTGCACTACGAAATCTGCAAGTACCTGCCACTGTGCATCTTTTTCTTTTATAGAGAAAGACTTGTAGGAAGATATATAGTATAGAGTTTCTGGTCATTTTAGAGCAAAACTCTCCAAAACAGACAAATAAAAGTGAGACCAGCATGTGTTTATAAGTTCAGAAAAACTCAATGAAAAGAATACTAGTGAGGCATCCTCTGTCTTCAAAGATATGCCAGCTGCTGCTTTAGCTGACTTAGTTGACTTAGCTGCAAAAGTTGACTTAGTTACGGAGAATTCTTTCTTGCTGGCACTGAAGAGTAAGTTTAAGCTGTTCCAGATTGCTTCCATGTCTCTCCTGCTGGCTGAATCAGAATATCGATTTCTTCTAATGCTTTGCCCTTTTTTGAAGGGATAGGTTTTTTAATGCCACTTCTTTTAGAAGAGAATCTCATTCATACTGTGCATCTATTTTATATCCTATATTGCTGTCAGTTTCCCCTGATTACTTCCAAGTAGATTACTAGAGGAGGCTTTCCTTAAAACAAAGTTGGAAGTGAGACTTCCAACTGTTGACATGCCATTTTCTGATGTCTGTTACTTCACATAAATGAAAGGCTTATTGACAGCTTTTCTTGGATGATTTCAGGGAAAATCAAATGCCTCTAAATACAGGGGTTAACATCTTGAATAACATGAACCTGAATATTGTTACACTCTTTTATAGTGCACACCAGTGAAAATCAGAAGGAAAAATACTGAATAATTAATTTTCCTTTTTTGTTTAATATTAGTTGGGTCTGTGGTACTTATTTACCTTATTTATATTCATAACATGTTTCTTTCACTGCACATATATTACCTGGAACAATTATAGGTATTTTCTTGACGAACCATTTCAGTGACTCTTTTTATATTGTAATTTTCTAAGACAGTCTTTTTCAGTATACAGATGCTATAGAGTAGTCATAATTCATAATTTAGTCAACTCTATTCCTTAGACACTGCTAGATGTGCACTAGCTTTGGGATTTTCATTCATTCATTTCATTCAAATCTAATACCAAATACCTGTAAATAGCTTTGCAGACAAATTAAATAGGTGGTGTTTTTTTTTTGTTATTGTTTTATTTCATATGACTGCTTGATAAATGAGATGTGATCTGTAAAGCAATGTGACTGGAACAGATGTAAAGCAGCACAGAAGCAGGGGACAACTAGACAACACTGACTAAAAGTGTGATATTAACAGCTTGGATAGTTCAGGGTTTTCAAGATTCTGCCAAAGACAGGAAGTTATTTTCTTTGGGTCCTGATAAAGGAGTAATATAAGTAATGTATCCCTGTAATTACTATTTATGTTTTAAACAGTGTCCAGGTTTTGTATACAACATCATGATTGCCTGGTTTGTACTATCTTAAGCTCCTTCTGCTTTCTATTGTGTTCTAGGTACATGCTAACATACCTGTGTTCATTATGGTCCATATTGTCTTTCCAGAGAAGCAGTTGTGCAGGCATCTATTATTTCTAAATCTTAGGCAAGCCTGCAACTTGTGTGCTTGGCTATTTGGTGATGGGTGCCCTGCTTCCCCCTCCTCCCCATTTTACCTTCTTTTAATTAAGATCTCCTATACTGTATCTCTGTTCCATATATGACAGCCTCATTTCACCGTCCCCCAGCATTTTGTATCGCATATTCAGTGGACTGTTTTTGAAGGCCACCTTTAAAAATCTGCAAATTATATGGTTTTTTCCCCTACTTTCATGCTGTAATTTAGAGTGAAAAAGAGTCAAAGCCAAAGTCAAACTTTTGAATTTTTTGTCGTTGTTGTTATTATTTTATGTTGTTTGGCGATTCATGGTTTATTGTTTCCATGTTGTCAGAGGAGTGATTATCCAGTGGTTACTTCCCTTGGGCCTGGGAATTCTGAGTGTAGCTTTCTGGTTTTTTCATACATGTTTTATGTATCAGGGTAGGTATTTAAATTTCAAGGGTCGGTTCTCTACCAGCAAAATGAAAAAATAATGCTGCTCTAGCTTACTAGTATGTTGTGGTTATAAGCAAATTGAAGATTGTATGGTGCTTGGATGATGCAGTCCTAAGTACTGTACTACTGCCTGAGTCTTACCTATTGATGCTAAAGTCAAAAAAATTAGAAAATTTATGTGATTATAACTTGTGTAAGGAGAAATTCAAGAACCTGAAGTTCTTCATCCATGTTAGGCTTAGGTACCTTTGAAGGAGTAGCATGAGCTTTATAATACTTCTTTCCAGCATCTCAAACTATTTTATTCCCCTAGAGGCCAAATGGCTGGTGACTGAGGGTGCGCACTCTGGATTTCTGTTCACATTAGTGTGTGAAGCAGAGAGCAGATACTTCTCCATTAGGGCATTTTATCAGTGAATTCTCACCAAGGCAGCTAGTATGTGGACATTTGAACATAAAAATCCCTAGTTTCGTCAGACCTTCATTTTTAAAAAGTACCACGCTGGCTTGCATTTCTTCTTGAACGCACAAGAGGTGTCGAAAGTACAGCTGAGAGCAGAGCAGCCGTAGAGAGATCCCCCACACTCGGGGTAGGCACGTGAGGTGGTGCCAGCAGTCTGCACTAGTGGAGCTCGAACCAGCAGTCTTCTGGCTCAGGGATCATCTTTGAAATTCTGAAGAGACTACATGTCTTTGAACACAGTTTAATATATTTCCCTCTTCCTCAAACAGCGATTTTTCCCTTAGGCATTCCATTTCACTATTTCCATGATAAAGCACTTCAATAATAAGAATCTTATGTTATTTCTCTACCTGAGATTGAGCCCTTTCTCTGTTGGTTCCTTGTCTGGGTGCTGCTAAGGAAGTTTTAGTTATTTCTGATTACCTTTTTGCTGAAAGGTTGGATTGTTTTAGTGATGTGCATGAACTAATAAAGAAATTGCGTTTCAAATGGAAAGTGGGCTTTCTAGATGGATAGGAAAAAAACTCCCTATCCAAAAGAAACTGAAGCGTTACAATCACCTAGCAAGAGTTTTCATTTGAAAAATTCATCTTCTTTTAAAATGATGGTGGAGACTTTCACAGTTTCTTCATCTTCACTGAAATAGATACTTCTGTCCTATATATGCCGAGCTATCCAGTGATGATACTGTTTGGAAAGAAGCACGGGGAGGATGTGTCAACTCCCCTTTCTTTGTAACAGTCTCTCCTGTGAGTTAAGAGCACTACGGTACAGCCAAGACATGGACCAGAGTTTTCAAAATGGCCAGTGTTACATGTGCATAAATAATCTTTGGTGCA